GCCCCACATCCCAGGAGGTGATTGGAGGAGAAGGGATTGTGGCATGGCCATTGCCCCTGGAGGGTGGTTTCTCACTTTTGGTCTCTCTTTCGGTGAGCACACACACCCTATAACAAAAATAATAATAAATAATTCCTTAAAAATTGTTTTAATCTAAAAATATAGTAAACATTTTAAATTTTTTTGTTGACGTATAATAATAATATTATTGTAAAGTTAAAAAAAAATTTAACTATACAGCCCAGTGAAAAAATGTATATGTGTGCATACGCACACTCGCCCATGTACCCGCAGCCAAGATCCAGATAGAAAATAGCGCCTGGTGCACGTTTTCTCCGAAATGGACCAGAGAGTTGGCCTTGTGGCCGACCGATGTAAATGAACGGGCATGCCGTGTGCCAATAAAACATTTTTCCAAGAGAACAGACGGTGGGCAGGATTTAGCTCAGGGTTGTAGTTTGCCAACCATAAAACGGAGAGCGCTTACCACTTCTCAGAAGCCTCCCTGGGGTCCCTTCAGAGGATGCCACTGTACTCACTGTCATCACCACAGTGTAGTTCTCTTTGTTGGCATTTATTTTGTGTACTAAATAAGTAGGTTTAAGTTCACAATTTTTAAAAAAGTATTTCTTCCATGCGTAAGAGAAAGAGAGACAGAAAGAGAGAGAGAGAGAGCTGGCACCCCAATAAAGTCCTGGCACTGTGATCCACCCCCAGCCTTTAGCCAGCCCCAGACCTTGGGCACACATGCCTGGTGTGTTTAGGGAGGTCCCTGGATGTGAACCCAGATCCTGACCGTGTGGGAATGCCTTGCAGAACATTGCATTTGAGGCTGTACTATCTGGCCTCCTAACTTCACAATTAATGAAGTTTTACTTAATCTTAGAACTACATTATTTTAGAAACAGAATTTTCTCTTTATTTTCAGACATCAGCATTTTAAGTGAGATATTCCTGGGTATGGACCTCTGCATTTACTCTACTTTGAGTTTGCTGAGCTTTTTAGATATGTAGATTAATATTTTTCATCAAATTTGGAAATGTTTTCAGCCATTCTTAACGTATTTTTTTCTGTCTTTTCTTCTGGTACTTCCATTTGGCATATGTGAGTATGTGTAATGGTTTCTCACATGTCTTTCAGGCTCTGTTAACTTTCCTTTTTTTCTTTTCATAATAGAGAGAATGCATGCATACACACACACACGTGACAGAAAAAGCACTCTCAACAGGAAGTCTTCACATCATGAATCCCCTTTTCCAGACTCTCCAGCTTCTCAGGATCTTGGGTGGCCGTGTGCACCCACTATGTTTCAGGTTGACCAGGCGGTGGATCCTAACCAGTGGTCAGCATGTGGCTTCCAGCACTGGAGTCCAGTACACAACGACTTGCCACTGAGGCTAGGCCTGTTGGCTTTCCTTCGTTCTCTTTTCTCTGCTCTTCTGATGGTATACTATCTTTCATTCTAGCTTCAAGTTACGTGGTTTTTTTCTAATCTCAGCTCTACTTTTAAGCCCCTCTACTTAATTTTTCATTTCACTTGATGTGCTTCCCAATTCCAGAATTCCATTTGATGCTTTTTCTAAAATACTTTCTCTCTTTATTTTTATTCTTTTTGAAAATCATCTTACCCTCCTTTAATTTTTTTTTCCTTTTTTTTTTTTTTTTTGAGAGGTTTTTGCTATAGGGCGCGTGCGCTCACCAGACAGAGATAGAAAGCGAGAAATCACCCCCCAGGGGGGATGGTGACGCCACAATCCCCTCTCCTCCATTCTCTTCTTGGGATCTTGGGCATGCACACACATGCACCCAGCGTGAGTTTTAAGCCACCGGGTCTGAGACGCAAACCGCAGTCGACTACATGGGAGTCCAGCGACATAGCCATTATGCTAACTGCTGGTTCCCCCCTCCTTTAATTTTTAAACTAGGTTTTTTTTTTTTTTTTAGTTATTTGAACAAATATGTTCACGTTCAGCCAGTGTTTGGTCAAAGATTCTGCTTAAGCACTTCAAACTAATAAGACTTCAGCTTGGGGCCGGCCAGTGGTGTGGTGATTAAAGTTCTGGACTCCCACATTCTTGAGTGTGGTTCAAGCCACAGACCTGGTGGCTTAAAATCACACCGGGCGCTTGTGTGTGTGTGCCCAAAATCCTGAGAGGAGAATGGAAGAGAAGGGATTGTGGTGTGCCCATCCCCCTTAAGGGATGATTTCTCACTTTTCCTCTCTCAGCGTCTCTTTATCTCTCTCCAGAGAGCACATGAACCATAAGGTAAAAAAAAAAACCTTAAAAAAAAGACTCCCGTTCTTTTCTGATGGGTATGTGCATGGAGCGGGGCATGCATTTTGCTTTCACGTCTGTTCTGTGTCCCACTGAGCACTCCTGGGTGGGAGTAAAGTCACACTAAATCCCTTCTCTCTCTGTCCCTCCTTTTGGGGTTTTGGGCATATATATGCACCCAGTATGCTTCTTGAGCCGCTGAGTCCTGGACCTGAACCACAGAGTTGGCCATGTGGGATCTGGGTGCTTTAACCACCAGGCCATGGACCCTGCCTGGAGGTTCTTATTTTTAATTCTATTTCCCACTCACTTTCCAGAGACTGTCCCAAATGCTGCCTCTGCTTCAAGTCAGTCAGACTGCAGATTTCCTGAGTTTTGGGTGCCCTGCTGGGGCCTGCCTTTGGCTAAAAACCATGCTACCAGGAAAACCCACAGTGCTGTTCTTCCCAGTGTCCTTCCCATGATGTCTTTCTGCTTTGGGTCATATTTCAGTGTTTTCTAATTTTTGAAACACATTTTGTCCAGGCCCAGCCTAGATGAATTGGTGCCTCCCAGACTGTAGTGCTGGAGGCCATATGGCTGACCACTGGTCTGGATCTCCAGGTCAGTCACCCTGAAGCATGCTGGGTATGTGTGCCCAAGCTCGAAGGCTACAACATGACAGGACCCTGCCAAGAGTGCTTCTCTCTCTCGAATAAAAAACAAAACGTAAAAAACAAAAACAAAAACAAAAAAACATCCGAACTGGCTTTAATTTGAGGATTTGTTCAATCACAGGTACTTACTTAAAGTGGAACTCCCCCAACCACTAAGTTTAGGTTGGATAATTTAAGAACGAGTGAATCTAAGACATCTGTGGTTTTAATAAGAAACAGTGAGATGTTCCATAATGGAATATGGAGTGCTTTTGCTGTTGTTATGAGGTAGAGAATGACTAGCAAGGGATAGAGTTATTCTTTTTGTTTTCATTTCTGATTTTTAATTTTTCCAGAAGGTGTGTCGCTCATGAGAAAGAGAAATCACCCGCTTGGGGCATGGTCATGCTGCAATCCAGTCTCCTCTATTTCTCCTTTCAGGATTTAGGTATGCACGCACATGCACCTGGAGTGCTTTTAAAGCTGCTAGGTTGAGCCTCATATTCTTCCCTTGGCCATGTGGGATCCAGCTGCCTTAACCATCACATCACATTAGTCCTGGAGTTCATCCTTTTTAAGCAAAACTCAAGCTGACTCTAAACCCTGAAGATCCATCTCAGACATTATCAAAAATTTTGAACAGTGGTTCCTACCACCCAGATTAAGCAACTGATAACACCTGGGCTCAGCTTAGATCAGACTCGAATTCTTTTTTTGTTGTTGTTTTGGAGAGGTTTTTTTTGCTATAAGGCACGTGTACTCACCAGAGAGACAGGGAGACAGAAAGTGAGAAATCACCCCCGGGGGGGATGACCACACTGCAATCCCTTCTCCTCCATTTTCCTCTCGGGATCTTGGGCATGCATGCACACGTGCCCGGCGTGAGTTTAAGCCACCAGGTCCAGGACTCGAACCGCGGTCGTCTACATGGGAGTTCCGCGACATAGCCATTATACTGACTGCTGGTCCCAGATTGGCCTCAATTTCTACTGGCTTTGTGACTGTACCGCATATCATCTTTCATATCTCATTGTGTTACAGGACTAGGAGCCAAAGGTCACTGATGCCACTATTCCAAAGAGCAGTGTGCAATGCTCCCGATTTCCCAGTTGTGTACTGTGCTAAGTGTGTTTCACCAACAACTGCCACACTAGGGGCTCAGAGTACTGGTTTTACAGCCATAGCTCTCTATCTCTACTGTCTTTATTTATTTATTTTTAAGAATTATTTTATTTAACTTTTATTTATTTATTTACTTCTTTTTAATTTGACCAGAGAGGGGCAGAGCAAGAGAGAGAAGCCACAGGTGTTAGTCACATTTTCTCCCAAAGATCATAAGAAACCAAGGGCACCAATCGTTTTTTGCATCATGAGCCAATTAACATCTAAAAGCAACTGCCTTTGCATTCCCATTCCATTTCCTCTTCCCCCTTCTTCTGCCCTATAAAATAATAAACCTGAAGCTGGTCTGAGGTCTTGGCTTTCTCCATCAGAGAAGTCAGACCCACCCAATCCTCATTTTTCTATACTTGTGTGTCTTTTGTGTTTACTTTTATGATTATTTCTAGTCCACAACCCTCCCCACTCAGATCAACGTGTTCTGCCAAGTGGGTCCTGGCAAGTGGCGCCCACCATGGGGCAGTCTCCCTATTGCTCAGGTGTTGAGAACAAAATGAAAGTGACATTGTCTTTGGCCTCAAGTTGCTGTGTCCTTTTGCAGTCCTTCCCTTAACAGAAGAGAAGAGAAGGCAGGTCAGGGCAAGATGGAAACAGACCCATGACGGAACCATGCTCTGCCAGGAGAAGCAACCCCCATATTGCGTCCCTGTCTCCAACTTCACACCTGGTGTTCATATTCTGGAGCTTATGTCACTGCATCAAATGCAAAGGATGATATTCCAGGAGAAATTCAGGTGTGGAAGGAAGCAGTCCAGTGCTGCCAGATGAATGGCTTCCTTTAAATAAACATCTGATGCGATTTCAGTCAACACTGCTCCAGCCCACCAGTGCCTGTGCCTCATACTGTGTCACTGGACCCCGAAATAAGGTGCAACTTAGACTCAGAACATCTACTCAATACCTGGCAAATGTGATTTCTCAATAACTTTATTGTAAGTCACATAATCTTGCTTTACATGACAGGAAGTTACAGAGCTCTCAATACCAAGTCTTCATTACATTATAGAGTTGGAGAATGTTCAAATTTGTGTCATAGGTTAATTGCACTTAAAAATTAAATATGCAGTGAAAAATATAGAGTTACAAAGACATCACTCTGGAGGTGTTTTACACTTGCATCTGCCTCACTTGCTTACAAAATCTCAAACTACCTTCCCACCCAGGGTTTATGGAGGGTCTCCTTCCCTGGGACTGAACTGGTACAAAAGACGAAAACGCTAAAACACACGTGAGTATCACCGAGAAGCACTAGAGAACTATGTGGGCACAGCTGGTGGAAACCAGAGCACAATACTGCCCGGTGGAGGAGGAAGATAGCAAGCGTGTGGGGAGCCCAGGGCAGCGCCCCCGTGTGGCCTCAGATGTCTTTGCCGCAGTCGGGGCACAGGATGTCGTCCCTCTCTGTGAGGAAGCCGCGGCCCACCAGCGACAGGGAGCACTTCTTGCAGTTGAAGCAGTCGTTATGCCACTGCCGCTCCTCGAAGGAGATGTACTTGGTGCCACCCAGCCCTGGAAACAGGAAAAACAGAACCTGGTGAGGAAAGAGGAAGTCTCGGCAAGATGGAATCAGGAAAGGTCTGGGGCTCAGCAGGCAATTCTCACAACCAATAGGCGCGTAGTAGCTAAGGCTGGATTCCCATGTGGTTGACTGTGGTTTGAGTCCCAGGCCTGGTGGATTGAAACTCATACCAAATGCACATGCGTTTGTGCCCAAAATCCCGAGGAGACCAGAGGAGAAGGGACTGTGGTGTGGCCACCCCTTTGGGGTGTGATTTCTTACTTTCCTTCTCACTGTCTTTATGTGGTGAGCACATAAACCAATAGATTTTTGCTATTAAAAAAAAAAAAAAAGCAAGCAATTCTGGCTTGATCCATTGCAAAGTTTCAGCTGTGTAATCTAGACAGCAGGGGCTCCCTGTGCTCAGGCACCGGGACTCCGTGGCTGGTGCTCCTCAGCCTACGACCCTGGGAGCACGGTGCACGTTCAGTGGAACCCGTGATGCAATTCACACCCGAGATATACTTTCAACTCAAGATAGTTTCAACTTGCAATGAGTTTATGGGGACATAACCCCCCATCACAATCACAAAGCATGTGCACAAAGTGGATTCTGCAATAGCTCGCAGGAGCTCTTACACGCCAGAATAGAGATGGAAACTAGTCCCAAACCGACGGGGAACGGCTATGAGAAAGTGCCTAATATGTGCATTTACTTGGTCGGCAGGTGTTTTCTCACAAAAGAGACTCCGTCAGATCTGGGAGCAGCTTCCTGTGATGCCTCCCCTAGTGCTCAGCTACTGAGTGAAGTGTGGAAGGGCATGTAAAGAGGAAAAGGTGACCTCTTCCTGGGGTGGCCAGGAAAAGTCTTGCAAAAACAGGACTGTGTGGGTGGGGGAGGAGGGAGGACGCGCCTGCAGGGAGGCCCCGAGACAAGCTGTGCCCAAGTGTGACCCTGGCGGCCGAGTTGGAGGACAGTGCCAGGTTGACTGAGGGACATGTGTGGTGGCCGAGGGGCAGCTAACTATGGGGGCAGATGATGAAAACGTAGGCTGTGGACAGAGCCACGTGAGAGCACACGAAGTACTGAGTCACTGGGATTCGACTGCTGGACTTGTGCTCTACTTGGGCAAAGCCTCTGAGTCTGGGACTTGAACCTGAGCATCTCGCAGCCCATGTTAGCGAACTGCGACTGCCTTTACAGATCCTACACTCTGAAGGGTTAGGAGAGGCTGGCAGGTCAGAGTCCACCCCGTGGCCTGCAGCAGAGCACAAGCCGACCGGTGGTTTCGGCCGGTGGGTCTAACCTCTCTGCATGTCGAACCACGCCCTGGGAAGATTGTAAAACCTCCCACAGCCGGGTCACGGGTCACGTCAGGATTTGTGACCCGGGTACCAGCCGCTTCTAAAGCTCCCTAGGTGATTCCTGTGTGAGGCCAGGTTTGCTCAGCAGTGGTTTAGGTGCACCTTAACTTGTAGGCGCAGGGCTGCCCAGGGGTGAGAAAGTGGCTGCTGTCCTTAGAACCCTGACCACTCTAGTGGGCAGAGGTCAGGGAGAGCTGCGGGGAGGCCCTAGCACCCCCTCTCCTGGCCTGCCTCCTCACCGTGATGAGAGATGTTGCACTGCAGAGCTGGGGCCAGGAGGGCACCCACGGGGCATGGGGGGATTAGAGTCAGTCCTGCAGGAAGTGGCTGCACCGGGACGGTCTCCTGTCAGGAGTTCTGCGTTAGCCCTGAGCTGCCAGCAATGGGACAAGTGGTAGAAATGAGTCCCAAAGAGCCCCCAGGGGGCCAAACCTCTGAGACGAAGATGTATGTACAGCCAACCTCTAATGTCCCTGTGAACACTGAGTTAGCGCCTGGAAGGGGACAGCAAAAGCTCTTGGAAAAAGGAAATTAGAGTAGGAGTTTATTTTGGTTCAAACATTTTGGAATCAGCACAGCGCCCGTGGCACAGGCAGTCTGTAGTGTACTGGACTACGGTGCTGGAGGCCATGTGGCCGGCCACGGGTCTGAGTCTCTGCCAGGCTGGCCTGAAACACACTGTGCACAGGCATGCAGGCGCCTGATCCTGAGGACTGGGGGGCTGGGAGCGGGGACTGCAGTGTTAGCAGGTCCTTCCCTCTCTGCCTCTAGCCCTGGGCCTAGTCCCCCTTCTTTGGGGGAAAGCCGTCTTTAATTCCAGTGTGCTTGCCAGAGAGAGAGGGCGTGTGCGCGAGAGGGCGCACCCCTAGGGCGTGGTCATGCCACAACCCCTCCCTCCATTTCTCCACCCCGTCAGACTTGGGGCCCACACGCACACGTGCCAGTGTGCTTCCTAGGCTGCTGGGCAGGAATTTGAACCTGGCTGGCTACGGGGGAGCAGGCTCCCTTCCCCACCAGGCCTGGGAGCTGGCCCGAGGATAGCTGTGTACTCTCTCACTGGTGGTGTTTTCTCACCGTCACAGTAATGACGATTAAGGCCCTGTCGGCTGGCCCTTGGCACAGTGGGTAAGTGCTATACCTAGCAGCCGGCTCCCCACGGTCCACTGTGGTTCAAGTCCCAGCCTGGCGGCTTAGAAAACATGCTGGAACATGTGTGTGCCCCAAATCCTGACAGGGTGGACAATACAGGAGACACAATTAGGCCACTACCACGTCACTCGTAAGGAGGGGCCTTCCTTCTCTCTTTGGTGAGTACATGTGCTCTCTGGCAATTAAAACAACCGTCATTAAGTATTTTATTTATTTATTTATTTATTTATTTATTTATTTATTTATTTATTGGAGAGGTTTTTGCTATAGGGCACATGCACTTGACAGACAGACAGAGAGATAGAAAGTGAGAAATCACCCCCCAGGGGGGATGGCCACGCCGCAATCCCTTCTCCTCCATTCTCCTCTCGGGATCTTGGGCACGCAGGCACACGCGCCTGGCGTGAGTTTAAGCTACCAGGTCTGGGACTCGAACTGCAGTCCCCTACATGGGAGTCTAGTGACATAGCCATTACGCCAACTGCTGGCCCGTAATATTTTATTTTAAAAAGTGCTTTCACGGGGACCAGCAGAGAGCATAGCGGTTACGTCGCTGAACTCCCACATGGCCGGCCAAGGTTCAAGTCCTGGAACTGGTGGCTTGAAAATCACATTGGGATGGGCCGGCTGGTGGCATGGTGGTTGAGGGCGCTGGACTCCCACATGGCCAACCACAGTTCGCGTCCTGGACCTGGGGGCTTCACACACACACTCTGCCCCTCTCTGATCAAATTAAAATAAAGTTAAATAAAATAAATCTTAAAAAAAAAAAAAGAAAAAGAAAATCACACTGGGCACATGTGCGTGCGTGCCCAAAATCCTGGGAGGAGAATGGAGGAGAAAGGATTGCAGCGTGGCCATCCTCCCTGGGGGTGATTTCTCACTTTCCCTCTCGCTGCGTCTCTCTCTAGGGAGTGCACATACCCTAAGGGAAAAACCTCCTTTTTTGAAAAGTGCTTTTTGTAGATTATATCATTTTGTAGTCATTTGCCTCCACAGGAGTTGCCATGGACACAGCACTAAAGGTGAATGGATTACGGCAAAAGGCCGCACTTTTCTTTCTAATGGATTGCAAGAGAGCCGGGACCTCCTGCCCTAACAGGGAAGCGGGGAAGCTGTGATGTCTCCTTTAAGCTTTAATGTCACACGGACACGTGCCGAGCTGTGGGTTAGACACGAGAGGACCGTGCTGGCGCCTGGGAAGGCGGGGTAGTTGACTGGGGTGGACTTGGCTCTGGCCTGGAGGAACAGCCAGTCCAGGCCGAGCACACGGGCGGAGAAGCACTGGCTGCAAAGCCTCATGGGAAAGCCGACAGGCAGCCGGTGACCTCTGCGTCCGCCATCTCCAACAGTCGGGTTGGGTGGGCAGTCCCGCACTGGAGCTCTCCAGGGTCGAAAGGGCCTACTCAGCTGTCCTCTCGCACCCAGTCACGATTTGAAATGCGGGGATGGGACCAGCAGTTAGCATAATGGCTATGTCACTAGACTCCCATGTAGTTGACCGCGGTTTGCATCCTGGACCCGGTGGCCTAAAACTCATGCCGGGTGCGTGTGCATGCGTGCCCAAGATCCCGAGAAGAGAATGGAGGAGAAGGGACTGCGGCGTGACCATCCCCCCTGGGGGTTGATTTCTCGCTTTCTATCTCTCTGTCTCTGTCTGTCTGGCGAGCGCATGCGCCCTATAGCGAAAACCTCTAAGAAAAAAAAGGAAATGCGGGGATATGGGAAGGCCTCAAGTCTGAGGCCCTCCGTCCTGCACACTGAGTTTCATCGCCACGCTCAATGGTTTCCTCCAGCGCTGGTCAGCGACCACCCTGGCTCTAGGCGCTCACTGGGCCACACTCCTCGAGGGGCGGGTATGGGATGAAAACCCAGAGTGTTCTGGCCGCCGTCCCGTACAGCTCTGGCCTGGGGTAAGGCCTCGGAGAGGCCACGGAGCCCTCCTCTGGATGCAGGGCAACTACTGGGCTTGAAAACACCAGGGTTCCTTGTGCGTCCACGGCTGTCCCCGAGGCGAGCCCAACCCAAACAGGAGCAGTCGCCTGGGGATGGGTGGCATGGCCTTCAAGAGCCAGGGGAGGTAGAGGGGAGGGGTCCGACCCTGCGGCAGTGTCTCCGGGTGCCAAGGGGAGAAAAGCCTGCTGTGCCCAGAGCCTCGGGGAGGCCCAGCGGACCAGGGACGCGAGCAGGCACTGTGCCGTTGCGAAGCACTTGGGCGGCTCAGCGTGGGCACAGGCGGCCGCCCGCCGAGGGCGCCCCGGGCACTCACCACTGATGGGGTTGGTGCAGCCGGCACACTTCTTAGCATACAGGTCGCAGAAGCAGCTGAGGCAGTAGGCGAACTCGTCCCGGGCCGTGAAGCGCTGCCCCGACAGCGGCTTCTTGCAGGCGGTGCACACGAAGCACTCCCGGTGCCAGGGCTGCTCGCGGTAGGTGACCCCTCCCGTGGTGATGGGCTGCAGGGGGAGCAGGAGCGAGGGGCCACCATGTGAGACTCACCAGGAGAGGCCCAGCGTGGCACCCGTCGGCTCGTGGTCGCCTTTGCACCAGGCGCTCACTCCCCGACAGGACCAAAGGGGCCGAGAGGACGAGCGCCCGCAGCAGGCAGGGTGGCGGGGAGCCCCTACCTTCTTGCACTGCACACACTGCAGGGCGTGCTGCTTCTCGTAGCAGGGCACGCAGAAGTTCTGGCTGTCCTTGGGGATGAAGCTCTTGGTCCCGATGGGCTGCTGGCAGCGATGGCAGACGAAGCAGGTCTCGTGCCAGCTGCTGCCCTTGTACTCCATCTTGCGGGTGCCTGGCGCCAAGTCGGGAAGGAGACAGCGGTTACTGGTGTCGGGCTTGGGGTCCCAACCTTCGCCTTTGCGCCCGCCCCGCTCCGGCTGTGGGTTGGGGCAGCCCTGCCGGAGCTGCCAGAAGTGCCTCCTGCTGTGCTCTCAGTTCCCGGGACAGAGGTGCCACGGGTGTGGACAATGACATGTGAATGCAGGGGGGAGGTCTTCCCAGCACGGCCACACGTGAAGGGGACTCAGGGCATGTGCTCCCAGCTCCCGGCACAGATGTGCCTGCCGCAGGTGTGGACACCGATGTGGGAATGCGGTGGGGAGGTCTTCCCAGCACAGCCACACGTGAAGGGATCGCAGGGCACAGCCCGACCATCCCGGTGGGGCATGCGTCCTGCAGGACAAGGCTCTGCCATGCTGTTGCACACCTGCTAGCAAACAGCCTCGCTGGAGGAAGGGGACCGCTCTATCGTGAGTAAAAAGAGGTGGAGAGGCTTTAGCATACATCGTAGGAAGATTTTCTTTGGCCCCCGGGGTTACTTTCGTAGCTTTGTCACTTGCTTTGGTCTCCCATCTTCCCTCTTGCTCAAGCAGCCCGAAAGACAAAGAACCCTGTCAGTGATTAGGGGGCAATCAGGACTCTCACAGAGACCCCAAACCGTGCAGTGCATCCTCGGCGTGTCCCATCAACAGGAGTGCTCGAGGAGCTGACGGCAGGGAACGCACTGCACACTCGGGCCCAGGAGGCGTCTGGGACTGTGGGCTCGGGCCTGTGTCATTACACAGCACCGCCTGCAGGTGGCAGGAGAGCTCCTTCTGCAAACAAACTGTGCGCTTGCCCTGGTCTCCAGCAGGGGGAAGCCTGCCTGGAGGAAGGGATGTCTTTCTGATTCAAGCAGGCACAGGAGGAACTGGAAGGTCACATGTGGACAGAGTCCTCTCGGAGCCTGCTCTGAGGCCGTGGTTCCCCCGCCAGACATCCCTGCCGATGGGGGCTCCGGATTCGGTCAGCCTGAACTGGTGAGCCCAGTCCTGCAGTTTCTGATAGGACTCTAGTTCCCGGAATCGCCACTAAGAAACGGCCTAGAGGGGGTGCCCACGGGATGGCGGGTAAGCTGTGCATGGAAGCCTGATTCCGAACGGCCAGCCCCAGTTCAGATCAGCGTGGCCAGGCTACCCTGCTCAGCCGTGGAGTGAAGAAGCAGTCGTGGGGGCTGGGCGGCGGCACCGCAGTGAGCGTGTGCTCTGCGAGGGAGGGCCACAGGGTGGGTCGCTGGTTCGTGTCCGCAGGTCTCCCCGAGGGCACAAATGCGCTTGTGATCTGGGCGGCCTGGATGTGGATCCTGGCGTCAGAAGTGGTCAGGGCACTGCATCCCCGCCTCTCTCCTCCTCTGTGTCTCTCTCACTCATGGAATAGATACACTTTAAAGACAGTTAGTCCTGGGACCAGCAGATGGCATGGAGGCTAAGGTGGCTGGATCCCACATGTTTGGCTGAGTGGTTCGAGTCCCAGACCCAGAGACTTGAAAAGCACACAGAGTGCGTGTGCGTGCGTGCACAATATCCTGAGAGGACATGGAAGAGAAGGGATTGCAGCATGGCTATCCTCCCTGGGGGGGGGGGGATTTCTCACTTTCTCTGTCTCTGTCTCACTCCATTGAGCACATGTACCCTATAGCAAAAACTAAACGAAAGCAGAACCAGTCTCCATGTTGCTGTGAGCATGTTCTGTAGGCGTGATCGCAGACTCTGAATGGAGAAGGTGCCCTTCCTTAGCAGGGTGGGCGTCACCTGATCAGGTGACAGCCTTAAGAGCAAAGACCGAGGTTTCCTAGAGCGGACAATGTTCTCACAATGGCAGCAGGGACCCCTGCCCGAGTCTCCAGCTGCTGCCCCGTGGAACACTGACGCTCCGACTGGGAGTGACATCTACTCTGACCTGTGCTTCCAGCCCAAGGGCCCGCTTAGGGTTCAGAACCGCAGAGCTCAGCCCTTCAAGTCAATCAGTCTCTCCCCTCATGTCTCTCCACACACGTGTGCATGAGAGGTCTTCAGAAAGTTCACGGAAAAGGTGTATTCTGAAAAAACTATGCATGGATCTCAATATTGTCTACACTGAGATGAGCTTGCCAAAGTTCACGCAATTGGAGCTACATGGGAAGACCTGTGGTTCAAGGCCACCCTGCCCATGCTGGGCACGTGCGCACGCCTGTGATCCTGGCTGGCTGAAGGTGGGCGTGGGCCACGAGAGGACTCTGCTGGGGCTCCTCTCTGTCTCATAACATAAATAAATTAAAAATAAAAACTGTTCTGGGGCTGCAGGTGGCACGGTGACTGGGGTGCTGGACTCCATGTGGCCGACTGCAGTTTGAGTGCCGGGCCTGACAGCCTTTTTTTCTCAATTTCTCTCTCTCTGGCCAATTTTTAAAATAGTAATAATAAATAAAATAAAATAATTCTTTTAATAAATTTTTATAAAGCTGTTCTGAAAAACAAAGGCAGATTGTGCTGAGGAGCAAATGAAGCCGCAGGGGAGAGCAGAGTGTGGGCTGGCAGGGGCAGGGGCCAGAGCAGAACGCACAGGGGCGCAGCGAGGGGCGAGGGGCGGAGGTTGGGGACACTGCCCGGGGTGGAGCTGCGAGATGGAGATGGGAAGGCGCCTTTCAAGGACGCTCTGGGTGCTTCCTCGGGCTCCCATCAGGAAAGCCGGGAGAGGTAGGTGTTTCTCAACGATGCAGTGGCTTTTTGGTGCTGGGTGGCCATTTCTCTGTAGAAACTCTCTGGGGACAGAGCCCCGATCAGCTGCTCTTCAGCAACGTAGCCATTACGCCAACTGCTGGTCCTGTTACCACATTATTTAAGACACCATTTTTACTAAGGCTACCAAGGTTCTCACTCTTTTTTTTTTTTTTTTTTTTTTGCTATAAGGTGTGTGTACTCGCCGGAGAGACAGTCTGAGAGACAGAAAGCAAGAACTCACCCTCTAGGGGTGGAGGCCACACTGTAATCCTTTCTCCTCCATTCTCCTCTTGGGATCTCAGGCACGCACACACATGTGCCTGACATGAGTTTTAAGTTGCGGGGTCCGGGACTCAAACTGAGGTCTACTATGTGGGATTCCAGTGATGTAACCACCACGCCATCTGCTGGTCCCAGAGTTAGGCCCTCTTAGTGTGCCCTCAGCTCGGTGCTTACCTGCTAACGGAGCTGCTCTGATGGCAGGTGTGTCCCGAGCAGAGTGGTCTCAGCATTCAGGGGTAACAAGCTCGGTACAGCCAGAGCCCCCGCCTGGCACCTCCGTCCCCCTCTGCCAGCACGAGCCTGGTTCTGCGGTGACCACCTGCCCCACCCGGGCTACCTCCCACATCCCGCACCTACTCACAGGCTCTGCACCGGCGGCCAGAGTGCTCCTGCTTCACTGATGCACACGCTCTGTGAGGGGCCTCGCTGCTTAACGGGGCCCGGGAGACAGCCCTCTCCCGCTTTGTGTGCCTCTCTGGGCCACAGGTCAGTCTCAGGCCGGGCGCACACGGAGAAGCTCCCTGCAGTCCAGGGCAGCTGGGTGTCCCGCGCTTCCGCGTGTCCAGCCAGGCCACTGTGCCCTGCGGTTCCTTCACTGGCCATGCAAAGGGGTCTCTGAACAGCCCAGCGGGCCTCTGTCATGGTCAGCTGTCCAGGCTCGCCCTCATTCCTACATACGTCTGACCCGAGTTGGTTTCCTGCCCACTCTGTTTTCTTTCTAAAGTTTGTTTACTTACTTCTTCCCCAAGAGAGGGAGTGAGCCCGACAGAGATGACACCCCTGATGGTCCCCACACCATGACCCACCCCGAGACCTGGCTGGCCTGGCTCTCAGGGCTGAGTGCCAGGCAACTCCAGAAAGCCCCGGGATGAGAACCCAGGACCTTCCCGTGTGGGTACCACTGGGCCAACACCCGGCCCCACCCCACAGTTTTTAGACTAGAAGACTCCTCCATCTCACATAAAAACAAACAGATGAGCCCCTGCAAAAAGCAAGGGACGTGGTCCCACCCTCCCCATCAACAGCAAGGCACCCGGTCCTCCCCTTAGCACGTGAGCAGCATCGATCGGCTCTGTGAGGGCGGGGCAGGTAGGGCACCGAGAACACAGGCTGGCCGGCAGGCCGAGTGCAAATCCTGCAGGCAGGGGCGAGGAGGAGAGGGCGTGTGGGGGGAAGGGGCTGGGGGGCTGTGCTCAGGGGATGCCCAGCCTCCAGCAATCACCGAGGCGCACCCCAGCAGTCAGCCAGCCCCCCCTCCCGTGGTCTAACCCAGCACACCTCACTTTTTAAATGCCCTAAATATAGGGTTCTTCGAAAAGTTCATGGGAAGTGACTCTGATGAAAAACTATACGTGGATTAACATTTTTTTGTATCAAAATAAACTTTTTTTTTTTGGAGAGGATTTTGCTACAGGGCGTGTGCACTAGCCAGACAGACAGAGACAGAGAGACAGAAAGCGAGAAATCACCCCCCAGGGGGGATGGTCACGCCGCAATCCCTTCTCCTCCATTCTCCTCTCGGGATCTTGGGCACGCACGCACACGCGCCGGGCATGAGTTTTAAGCTACCAGGTCCGGGACGCGAACCATGGTCGACTGCGTGGGAGTCCAGCGACATAGCCATTATGTCATCTGCTGGTCCCTAAACTTCCTATTTTTAATTTCATTTTTCTTTCTTTCTTTTTTTTGCTAGAGAGTAGGTACACTTGCCAGAGAGAAATGGGGGGAGAGGAGAAAACCCCCCGTGGGGATTGGTCCTGCCACAATCCCTTCTCCTCCAACTCTTCCTCCCTTTAGGATTTTGGACACGCACACGCATGTCCCTGGTGTGTTTCTCAAGCTGCTGGGCCAGGACCTGAACTGCCCGGTTGGCAACGTGGGATCTGGCTGCCCTGGCCACCAAACCGTGGAGCCTGCCCCTTCAATTCCATTTTCCACAAACTTCTGAAGTCTCCGCATAGTTCTCTGCAGCTCAAGGGACGGAAGAGGTGTCAACACGAGAGTCCGGAGCCAGGCTGAGGTGCACAGCGGGCCAGGGCATGGCGGGTGGCGGGGCCCCACAGGGCGGGCAGTCGCGACGGCTCACCTGGCATGATGGTCCGCTTGCACTCCTGGCACCTGGACGAGTACTCGGTGGAGTAGCAGTCCGTGCACAGCAGCCGCTCCTCCCTGGCCGCGAAGGGCTTGTCCACCAGCGAGTGCTTGCACTGCGAGCAGTGGAAGCAGGCCTCGTGCCAGTGCCGGTCCTTGTAGGACAGGTCCTGCGGAGGACACGCGGACAGTCAGAGGGCGGCCGGCGAAGTCCAGGGCCCCAGGGCCCCAGGGCCCGACGGCCTGAGCCGATGCGCGGGGCAGACCAAGATCGCCAGGCCTCCGGGCAAGCATTCCCGCGCCGGGACCCCTGACTGCAGAAACCAGACAGCCAGGCTTCTCTGCTGCACCGGGAAACCATGGGTGAGACAGGTGCACACATACATGCATGCACGTACACATGCGTGTTCGTGCATGAAGGGAAGTAGGCGCTCTTGTATCACACGTGGACCTCCTTAGGTGCTGCCTGTAAAAGAGAGAAGCAGAAAATGGGAAGACACATCCCACATCTGGTCCGGTGAGTGAGAAACAGAGGCCAAGACTTCTCTGGCTGAGGGGGTCCAGCCCAAGCTACCAGGACAGCAGGGTCCCTGCGGTCCCCGGTACAGAATGCAGGAGGGCCTGGGTTGGGGCATCAGAAGATGACACTCTGAGGACAGGGCCCTGGTTAGCTGGTGGAAGGGGTGTCAGCAGAGACTCCTGGGGCAGGAGCTACCCACTGCGGGAGGACTTCATGGACGGCAGAGGGTGGGCAGGGCTGGGTGGAGAGGGACTTTCAGGTGGAGGAGGTGCAAGGGCGTGCTGAGCTGCGTGGGGGTGCTGGGCGTGGCTGTGAGCTGGGCTGGGGGACAGGCCAGGGCACAAGGTGGGGACCATGCCCAGGCTGGGGCAGGACATGTTACGTCTTGCAGAAGCTTCCGGTTGTCCTGAGGCAATGAAAGCTGCTAAACTATCTTAAACGGGAGAAAGAGAGCTGGCCCTGCGGCCCAGTGGTTAAAGGAGCATGGACCCCACCTAATCCACTGCGGTTTGAATCCCAGCCCTGGCTGCTTGAAAACCATGCTGGGCATGTGTGTGCATGCCTGAACTCCAGACAGCATGGAGAAATGGAGAAGGTATGTGGGGTGACCACACCCCCGGGGGTGCTTTTTC